CCTCCGCCCCCGGGACTCGCGCAGGCGCCACCGCCGGCGGGGGGAGCGCGGTGTCCGGCCTACGCCACAGCGCTGCGCCGCCCCGGCGGCCGAGCAACGGAGCGGAGCTCGGGCGGCGGCGGGGGGAAGGCTGGAAGGCCTTCACCTGGGATGCCTTCTCCCGGCCCGCGCTGCCGCCGGCCTTCCCTACGGCCACCGAGGCGCCGCGCCGGCGGGCAGGGCCGGGAGGAGGAGGAGGGTGCGAGCTGCCTCAGGCAGCGGCTGCAGGGAGCGGGGGAACCAGCGTGACAGAGTCCCGTGGATCTGCCTCGCCGGTAGCGGCAGCCGTGACACCGGGCGCCGTGACCCCGCGGTGCTTCCCCCGCCCGGCCCCGGTGTCTCGTTGGATGAGTGCCGGCAGCTGCAGCGAGGGCACGGATCCCGCTGCCCAGGGCTCTGGGGAGGCACTGGAGGAAGTGGAAAAACTCCGGTTATTCAGGTGTAAAAGCTAAAGGTTTCATCCTTTTTCTCCCTTCCTTCCACTTCAGATCTTAGCCAAAGGGAAATACTACCTCATACACTTAAACGCCATTAAGTTTTATGGCAAATTAACCTCTTACGTGGCCGGTTTTGAGCCACTCGGTATCACTAGTGACTTCCAGAAGCCGGCAATTTAATCACTGTCCCTGAGACGTGTTAATCTCTAACAACCAAGAAGTAACATTTCCTTTTTCAAGAAGTCCCTCAAATGAAGAAAGGAAACTCCTAAGAGAAGTCCGAGGTCAAATCCTTATACTGATAGTTTACAAAACTTACAAAGGAGAAGCAGGCCTTCAGTGAAGGCTGGTAAATTGAGATCCAGTTCAAATCCCATTTCTACCAATAATAGCCAATGACCAAGGCACAATCCCTCATAGAAATACACAAGGTTCATTTCCCGGTAACAGTGTGTAACCATGGAGCTACCTATTCTAATTCTTACTCAGTGAAAAGTAGATTTCAGTTCCTTTAAATTGTACACACTTCTATTCATCTTGCCTTTCAAAATACGTACACCTGGCTACACCACTTGCAACTACTGTCTTACACACTGTAATCGGTGTGTAAACGGGAACTAAGATATCCACGACTCTTCTACTGCTTAGAAAGCAGCTGTGCTTTTTTGGGTGACCGTTGGTAACTCCTTAGGGCTGATGCACCTGAGGAACTGTTTACAGTGACGGCTTGTTACTCCGTTAACTCAGATGAAGAGTGTTAGGAAGGTAAGTTCTGCTCGTCCTCCATGCAGAGACCCAGGGGTGATCTGTGCAGAGAACATACATCTGTACATTCCTGACACAGAACAGCGCTGCTTTACTGACAGGTCAGCAGTAACAACAGAAGTTGGGAGTAGGGGACTGTTCTGCCTAACTACGACAGGCACGAGGTCCCAGCCTTCCGTTCTGGGTCTGGTTCAATACAGTGTGTCTCGCTAACTAGCGTCGGCCAATTGGTAACCATTAAATCAGGAAAGTCAACTAGAGTTTTGGTGGAGTTAAGTTTAAAGTGGTATAACAGATTCTGTAGTCCATTATCATACAACTTACTCATAAACGCTTGATTACATTTTCTTAAGCCCCCTCCCCACCATATTAACATGAATGGATAAAGTGATAAAGGCCTATAACTAGTTGTCCTTGATTTTATTGTCCACTTGGTCTTTCTCCAGCAAATAATTCAACATTAGTTATGCTTCCTGGAACTTGTAAACCTATGGATTGTGATCAGAAAATACACATGTATTTGGAAGCAAGATTCCTCTCTCTCCAACCTTACAGGTTTTGAATCATCTAGCGTCAACAAGAAGAATGCAGATAATCAGAATGCAGGAATCTACCAGTGCATTAGCAAGCAGTAGGAACAGTCCCACTTGTTCCATAACAGCAGTCACATTGGACGATGATTAAGAGACAGTACTTTGAAAACAGCAAAAAGTACAGCTACAAGTTTTCTGTGAAGTTCTATTAATAGAATTTTTTAAATGCGTAACTTTGTCTAAAGCAAAGCAGAAGATGTGGAACAAACTCAAGTATGACTCAGGCGAAGACAAAAATAGCGTCAGGCAGGCTCTGGCAAGTAAAGAGCAAACAAGGGGGGTGTAGATAAAAATCTCAGATTTTTTAAAACTGAAGTCAAGGTCAGTTTACTTAAGTTAGTTGAGAATGTTTTAAACAGCTCTGTACGTGTCCTGGCACATGACAAAAATAAATCAGTTAGAAATAGGAGAATTTTCTACTGAAAAAAAACAGGACACAGCAGTAGATCCAATTAATTTAAGACTGCCAAAAAGTGTAATTTTTAAAGTAAACAAACAGTTTTATCAGTTACCGAAACCCATTAACTTTTCTCACTGTTAATGTAAATAAAGAATGCAGAAGATTTGTTTTGGTTTTTCTGCAGTTTTCTTAATTACTTCACCCAAAAGATTGTTCTGTGCAGAACTCCTATTTTTACTAGCAAAATACCTGTTAAAGGCTATTGAATGATTGAACCTAGGTATCTTTTTATTTTGGACAGATAAAGTGATTCCAAGTTTAGAATTTATTTCTACAGAGAACAAGTTTACCTTTAGCAAACTTGACCCTGGTGTACAAATGCAATAGCAGGCCACTGCTGTTCTTATTTACATAATAATTCTCACTGCTTCAGATGCGATTTATTTATATGAGACTGCAGGAATCTGCCCTAGCTTTGTTTGTTTTTCAACACATCATTGTGTGCAGAAGTGATTAGTTTATACATTGAATCTTTTGTAAGGACATACTTAAAAATCATGTTAAACAGAATACAATTATAAACGTTTATCTGATGCTATGAAGTTAATATAACAGTTCATTACTCTTTTGATTCCACAAAATTTTACATTTCAAGTAAAATCTTAACAGGCACACAAGACTACTGCAAACAATTAACATTTTATTTAGCCGGAGACAATCATAAATCTGTGGTGTTTTGAAAATAGGGTGATGGTAGATTATATTGCCACTATGTGGAAGCTTCATGGGGAGCGAGGCACTCTTCTCTGAAAATAGCAGCAACAGTAATACTGTCTTGTGGAGCAGAATGGGTTCCACACAAAATTAAGTCTCTGATTTTTATATTTGTAGGGAATTCAGCCACAGGAATCTAATTCCTAACAGGACAATCCAAACACTTAGGAAAAAAGTAACAAATATATGTCAATCTACACACAGTGTGGAAAGGCAAGGACATGAGAGGTGTCCAGTACCACAAGCATTTAGTGTTTTTGACAAGGCAATACAAGCAATGAATTGAGTAACATATTGCTGATGTTTATGCAGACACAAGTTTTCAGACAAATGCAGGCTCCCCACTTCCAGCTGCATGTTTATAGTCTGTGAAATTAACACTTACTCCTATGGAAACAGAGCGCCATGACTTCCACGACCAGACCGTACAGCTAAAATAATCACAAATAATTTTAAAAATTCATGGTTATCCCCCCTGGGAGCAGGAAAAGCAAGAAGAGTAAGAGAAAGCTCTTCAAAATACTGTAATGGGTAGCAATCTGTAAGCATTACTAGATCTTATCCTCTTCATTTGTAATTATGACCTGTCTACTCATTGTTTACTATTAAATCTTAACCTGCTCTAGTTAAATCTGCCTTGCCTGTTTCTATACTCCTACGTACTGAACATATCCAGTCAGTTCTAGATAATGAACATAGCTACCAGCTCTCCTTAACTCTGAAAAACAATCACTCTCTTATTTGAAAGCCAACACTTGTCTCTACATACACACTGGATAATCTGTTTTTGGCTCTTTATCTCTAGATATGTCATTCCTCCCTAACCATTAGAACACTTGGTACTTTTCCAACATAGCCTCTGTTCTTTTTCACCTTTGAGAAGATCTTTTGTACTCTGTTAAGTGTGTGTTTCAATGCATACAAAAGCATTTCAGTTCAACTTCACATCTGTGGTTCATTGGTGGCTATTGCTTTTGTAGTACTACAAATGAAATATCTCATCGATATTCTTTGCACAGAGTAATTCAGAATGTACAGATTTGTACCCTGGTGGATATTTTAATACACATCTTCTGGAGATTGAGGGTGGGAAGGAGTGGGTGTTGTTGCTCAGGGCAGGAAGGGGACAAGTGGTGCACCACGTTTCAAAAGCTCATACCAAGTCAGCCATTTATTTCCATATTCCTAGTGACAATCACATTTAATTTATATATGCAATTTTTGTATTTATTCAAACAAACAAAAAAACCCAACACCATAAGAGTGAATCACATGAGTTTCAGTCAAACAAGAATCTACATACTCTCAGTTTAAAAAAAAAAAAAATATTCATGCATATTCTTTAATTTGTGCACTAAGGACAGTATGTTGCAACTTCCTCATATCCTGACTACTATCACAGGTATTTTTAGCTACATCAGTGCACCAGATTTCGACAGCTTACATTAGGATAAAGCTGTTAGCGAAGAAGAAGCAACTGGGGCAGTTTTTCAGGTTGTTTTGTTTTTAAACAGGCCCTTAATCTGGAATAGCCTGTGTAAATTCCTTAAAACAGGCACATTAAAGAACAGCAAGAATTAAAATAGACTTTGGCCCAGCTGAAGGTCATCTTCTATTTATGAAAGTATTTGCATAGTTTCATGTATCTCCATTTTCCTTTTCTCCCTGCACCAATTACTTCCACTAACAAGGGCATCCAAAGCAATGGTGAATTCCTGAGAAAACAGCTGTATGTGAAGCAAGGC